TCTTACATATTTGTTTAATATGTGCGTTGAAGGACATATCCTGGTCAAAAATGACTCCAGGATTTCTTAAATAATTAAACTGTAGTTTAAGTTTCTTTGTGTCATCTGGTGGCTGGATAAATATAGCTGGGTATCATCTGCATATCAGTGAAAGCAGATGTAGTGTTTTCCCGTATAACACAAACATGGACCTGTGGACCTCCATGACTGACTTCTGTGTTAACAGGAACAATCTGTGAGTCAGATGAGATTCAGACCAGAGCAGCCGAGTGTGACCTTTCACCTTAATGCCGTTGAAGTTGTCGACAGCCAGGACTGTGCTCCTCTGGTCCTCATAGCAGATAAAACAGAAACCTTTGGACTTGCCGGTCTTCTTGTCACGCACGAGGTTGATGTTGACGATCTCTCCATACCTGACAGGACAAACTGAATCACGGTGCTGCCCATCTGTGAGTTGTGTAGTTAAGAAAGGATGAGGTACTTACTGAGAGAAGACACAGATCAGGTCTCCTTCACTCAGCTCGTATGGAAACCCTCCTGCAGAAAACAAAACATCCAAAACGCTGTTGATTCATTCTCCAAAAACCTTTCATTACTTCATCACTAACGTCAGCAACAACACAAAACATCCAGCAGATGCACACAAAACAACACTGCTGTTTCCAGTAGAAACACCTTTATTAAAGCTGAAGATACCATGGTTGGTGATGGTTCAGAGTGTTTCATGTAAGATGAATATTTCCAAAAAGCCAAGTCTTCAACACAGACTACTCGATCTGAGATGTCTCATGGATCTTCCAGATTGAGTGAAGTCATTTTCCAGAGATCTGATTGGTCAGTAGGGACCACTTTTTGATACCCATCGATCATTTATCTGGAACATATGAAATATCAGTCTATGAAAAACCTCTTAAGCTTACGAATACATGACATGTGGAGCTGAAGCCGATCAAGAAGTTTGTGTTGCAGTGACAGAAACGTTGAAGTAGAAATGACAACCAATGGGAGCACAGGAAATCCCTGACTGACCAATGACCTTGGCAGACTGGTGACTGGTGTGGCTTCTAAAGAAAACCCTTTACTTCCTCTCAGTTTACATTTTCCCTCAACTTTAAACTAACGATTATTTTCATTATCTGCTCATCTGTGGATTATTCCGTTTGTCACGCAGTCTCACCAACAAAGACCCAGGCGCTGTCTTTGTACTCGCTGTGCCAGGAAACGGACTCGTTGACCCCGAGGCTGGCTTCACGCTCGTTCAGCTCGTTTATCAGCTTTACCTTCGTTAGAGGACTGAAAACACAGAGAGAAGAGAAAGTGTTTCATTTTCAGAATGCTGGTTCATAATCTGTAATTAATATGTGACAGTCATCTGCTTTCATCTCGTAAAACCCAGCGTTTAAGTTTTATTTCTGCAAGGCTAAATTTGAGGATTTGGAGAAGAAAAATGAGCTTAATCATATATGAGTTTATAATAAAAAGGCAAAAATATAAAAAGACATAAGCCATAAACAGTAAAATATAAAAGAAATGTAATTTAAACCTAAACATAAGGCACAAACAGAACTGATTTTAAGACCACTGATTCCAGATGTGTGGAGCGTAATGACGTCTGTTTCTACAGACCAAACTCCATTCAGATTATGACTGATTTAAAGCCCCGTGAACACGCGGACAGGAACGCAACACGGGTGTTTGTGCTCTGTGAAGCTCTGATTCGTTTTTATTTTAGTGAGCTACACATCCCGCAACGGTAAAGAAAATCGCCTATCGCCAAAACAGGAGGCGATGATCACCTCTTCAAACTCTGGTCCACGCTTAATTTTATGCTATTTTACTGTGTGCCGAATTGAAATAAGGCTCCTGTAATTGCATAATAACCGCAGAGAGTGTGTCTGATTATTTTATGGGGAAAGTTGGTGGAAAATAAACATAAAATCTCAGGTTTTCTGAATGGAATCTGGGAGACGAGATTGTACATGAAGAAGTACTCAAACAATCTTCAAGCTGGCGCTTTTGGGTAGCGAATAGTCATTTTCGAATGGCTATAATCATTACCGAATAGTTATCATTGATCAGTAAACGATAAAAAAAAACTTAAATTAAACGCTTAATAAGAAAATAATTACTTACTTCATGATCAACTATACGGTTTGTACATCAACGCTGTGCTGAAAATGGCTAATCTCACCGACAGAAACAACTTCCGTTTGAATTTCCGCCTCTGCTAGTGCTGCCCCCTGCTGTTAGGATGTCTTTAAAACGAGCTACATTTACACGGCTAAATATCTAAACTGTCATTAGTGTGAGTGGCACTAATTGATATTGATAGAAAGACGATGTAGCTATAAAGGCTATTTATGGGGTTACATTTCTAAATATTTTAACTGGATTTTCACTCAAATTATCCTCCCGCACTGCTGGTGGCGCTGTGCGCTAATTGCGAGCTGATGACGCGGTTTGTAAACACTAACCTGTCACTGAGATGCTCTTGTGGTGTGTGTCAACTACCCGGATAGCCGGGAGCTAGCTTACAAACGAACTTTTTTAAATCTTAATTTCACCTTTTAACATCTTATTTTTGCCGTTTTGAGTTAATATATGCTGGGTTAGCTCACTCGAATTCCCAGTTACGATCAGTAAATTAGCTTTCCTTGCCAGTCATGGCTTCCTAGGGATAAAAAAAAAAGGGTTAAAAGAAACCTTTTTACTTTTTTATTTATTTATTTATTTTTTTTACATCTGTTTCCCCGGAGGCCATCTGTGGGTGAGTAAATCAGTAACTGCTATTAACCTCAGCTTTACAAAATGAGCGTGAAAAGCTAATTTCCGAATGCTAATGGCTTTAGACTGAGGTCGCTTACAGTTTCCGTCATTTTAAAATATTTTTTCACTTCTTCTAGCACGTGTACGCATTAAAATCACATTTAAGGGTTTCCCGGATTATTTTGGTTCTGAAGTCAAATTCGGCATAAGAATCATTAGAGCTGATTAAGGACGAAATATTTTATTGTCACCTGGGTGTTTGCATGAGGAGCTCTGAGGCTTCGATCTGCCTGAGGAAATCAAATCGTGGCCTCAGTTACTTACTTTAAGTCTCCTCTTTAAAAAACAACAACAACTTTTTCCTGATTGTACTTGATTTTATCTCCTTTTCAGTGTTTTTATTTAGTTACCAATTTCTGTCACTTTATGCCTTTTTTGTTTGCAACATAACTAATTCATATAAGTAAATAAAGACGATTATTATTTTCTCATTTCTCCTGTGTGTCTCTCAGCAGGATGATCTCTCAGGTCTTCATCTTGTCCTCGAAGGGGGACCATCTCATTTATAAAGACTGTATCCTTCTGTTCCCACAGCTGGAAACAGCTCAGGACAAATGAAAGCTGTATGAATAAGTGTATTAGTCCCCCATTAAGTAAACTTTAACTGTAAATATATTTCGGCAGTGCCGGACCTCCATACTGTCGGTTGTATGGGGACAATTCTGAATCTGAAAACTTGCTTTATTTATTTTGTGTGTAAACATCAACCTTGACCTGACCCACCAGTCCGTGGAGAAGCTGGTAACGACATTGTCAGTATTTTCTACGAGAAGGTCACGGCGCTGACCGGAGACCAGCCTCCGGTCGTCATGGTAAATAAGTTATGGCTTCTTTTTATTGAGACACGCATACCTGCTGATTAATGCTCAGGACCATCCAAACACACAAAGTGGAGCTCAGACTTTTTGAAGGGTTTGTTGGAACAGTTAACCTCACAGCAGTTCGATTATTGGTCCGTGTGACTGACTCGGACTCCACATGATGTTCTGGTGTCTGTTTTGGTTCATTTTATGTAGCTCCCAGTGTTTCCATGATGTGGTCAGCTTTCCAGCTGCAAAAGCTGCTGCAATGCAGCAACATCTGCTCTCTGTCCGGACTTTGTCCAGTCAGCTCATAATTAAAAACATTTAAACCAACAATGAGCAGGTTTCTCAGATTTCAGAAGAAGGAATCATTATGTTTGATT